AGCACAGTAGCAAGGAAAAGATGAGATTACGACCACCATCTTGACTATTTTTGTTGGACGACCGAGCCACGTCGTAAAGCCCCTTCGGAAATCAAACCTCTCCGCGGAGCAGCACTGTCTGCGCGTCGACTAAAATGAGACGTTGTGTGACTGGCCAGGCTAATTCTACCACCTCGGGGCCAAAGGAGTTGATTCGAGATTGCGAACCGTCACATTTTCCTCTTCACGTCCTCATCAGCTCCATCTGTTTAGCTCATCACCGCTTCATCACAACACGACCGTCAAAACAGCTCTATCACTCTGGTCCCGCTGTCCGTGGGCGCAGAGCGATTCAAAATAAGTATCAATGAAAAAGCGATTAGCAGTTTAAAACAAAAATAGTGTCTCTTTTTGAATGGTTTTCAGATTCTACAGCGTGTCGTAATTTCAGGTTACATCATTTCTAATTACGTTTTACTTTGTTGTGAAACTTACAAAAACTCACAAATGTTGATACATCAGGGTCAGCCCATTAGTCTGACAGCCCAATAGTCCAGGACTAAACCAGGACTAAACCGGGACTAAACCGGGACTAAACCAGGACTGAACTAACGCCGTGACATTAGCGGATTATAAATATATACAAGCCGCAACCGCAGAGTGACTCGCCAGGACTACACCAGGACTGAAAAAGCACTAAACCAGGTCTAAACCAGGATTAAACCAAGACTAAACTAGGTCTAAACCATGACTAAACCAGGACTTAACCAGGACTGAACTAGGTCTAAACCAGGTCTAAACCAGGACTTAACCAGGGCTAAACCAGGATTAAACCAAGACTAAACTAGGTCTAAACCAGGACTAAACCAGGACTGAACTAGGTCTAAACCAGGACTAAACCAGGACTAAACTAGGTCTAAACCAGGATTAAACCAGGACTAAATCAGGACTTAACCATAACTAAACCAGGTCTGAACCAGGATTAAACCAGGACTAAACAAGATCTAAACCAGGACTTAACAAGGTCTAAACCAGGACTAAACCAGGATTTAACCAGGTCTAAACCAGGACTGAACCAGGACTAAACCAGGACTGAACGAAGACTAAACCAGGTCTAAACCAGGACTAAACTAGGTCTAAACCAGGACTGAACCAGGACTAAACCAGGACTTAACCAGGTCTAAACCAGGACTGAACCAGGACTAAACCAGGACTTAACCAGGTCTAAACCAGGACTGAACCAGGACTAAACCAGGACTAAACCAGGTCTTAACCAGGACTGGACCAGGTCTAAACCAGGACTAAACCAGGTCTTAACCAGGTCTTAACCAGGACTAAACCAGGTCTAAACCAGTGTCATTAGCATAAATATATACGTGCTGCAACCGCCGAGCTGATCACCAGGACTAAACCAGGACTGAACCAGGACTGAACCAGGAGCAGAGCCGCTGAGCCGATCACCCCCCCACTGATGGTTTTATGTGATAAATACACTGAAGTCTCTCTCAACCTTGTCTATCGTTGTTTCAGGAAAAGATTGGGAAATGTCTATTGGGTCAAGTATTTTGTCGTTCTTTTAATTCACCTGATCCACCCATGGGTAATCACTACCCACCCGTAAAATTCCAGAACGTTAAAACCCGACCCGGTTCAGGACTCTGAACTGTGTAAAGAAGTGGACTAAAGGAGTGTGATGTCAGACACAGCGTTCGGCTCCAGTCAAACGAAGCTCATGAGGCCAGCGCTTATAGGAGTGAATTTTGAGGCAAATTCTATATTAGGAATGCAAATTTAAAACCAGGATCACGTAGAGCGGGTTAATAGGAACATTTTAAGACTAAAACTTCTGCAGTTACAGAGAGAGGGGTGACAATTTTCTAACGTAAAGTCAGTTGGAACTGCAACAGGTGAGCTGATTTGTGCTGTTAAACAAATCCAATCCAACTTTATTTGTGTAGCACATTTTATGAACAAAACAGTTTCCAAAGTGCTTCACATAGCAATGCAAAACATTTTACTTTCAAAAGAAAAAAACTCAGCAGAATTATGTTTCAACCATAAGGACACGAATAGAATAAATAATAATAATAATAATAATAATAATAATAATAATAATAATAATAATAATAATAATAATAATAATAATAATAAAATCAATGAACAGAAATAATAAAATCAATACATAAAAGCAATACAAAAAATAATAAAATAATAAAATAAATAAATAAATAAATAAATAATATAAAATACATAAATAAATTTTTAAAAATTAAATAAATTAAATTTAAAAATAAAATAAAATAAAAGATACAAATCCCTCTCAGATAACAATAACTGTCAAAGTATGTGTGCATTGTGTCTCCATGGTAACCGCCAAAAATCCCGCCGACGCACATACATGTAGAACACCACCAGTTTAATGTCACGGCAAAATATGATCAGTTTGGATTCACGTGAAAACACAACATTGTCGAATTCTCAGGTGGAATTTGTTATTTAACCGTCAGATTACAGATGTGTCGACCTGGTTCATGGTTCATTTCTCTGTAATTACAGGGCCAATAAAAATGAAATTGTTTTTTTACACAGTGGTACGGTGCCATTTTTCATCCCCAAAGACCTGACTGATGTAATTTTAAGGTGATTTTTACTGTCTTTAAAAACATGAAAAACAGAACTGGAAACAGAATTGGTCCAAAGTTATCCCTCACTTACATAACACATTCCGAGGCTCCAACGTGATGAGTTCAATCACATTTCACAAGTTTCAGAGGCCCGAGCAGAGTTGTTGTTTTTTCACATTAAAGCTCACAAACATTATCATGCTAACGGTGCTTTTCCTGTTTTGCTGACAATTAAAATTCTCTATAAGTAGATGTATCTTCAGCCGCCTAGAGCTTTTACAATATATCTATCTTGGTGCAAAACTAATTTAAAGGTTGTATAGAAGATTTTCCAAGGAAAGAGAAATGCAGCGACTGTTTGTCCTTTTTTAAATGTTGCGCTTTGCACCTTTTCCCCTTCTCTTCTTCTTTCAGCAACATCAAAAAACTGACTTTCTTTTGCGGCGAACCGGTCGTGAATTCTTCTCTGCCATTAAAACAAAATTTGTGCAAACAGAGCTACAGTTCAAAAAAGACGCCAAGAACCGCTAAACATGAACCGCGAACATAAACCACACAATCCCAGCGCGTCGGCAAGTCAGCGACACTAGAAACACAGGGAATTTGATTGACAACCTAACAGCCAATAGATAAAGAGATAGCCTTGTTATCTATTGGCTGATGTTTATCTGCCCTCACTACGTCCACAGTTGATGGATTTTCATTCTTTTTTTTGGTCATCATAATTACAAGGCTGCTTCTTCTTTATAATTCTATTTTGAACTTTCATTGACAATTTGAAAAAATATTTTAAAAAATCCTCCATACAACCTTTAACTTTAGTACCGTATTTTTTGGACTATAAGACACACTGGATTATAGAGCGGAATATCAATAATGTTGAATTCTCTCATCTATTTTCATACATAAGGTGCACTGGATTATAAGGCACATTAAGCGAAACAAATGGACGACACTTGAGACTGATCCTTTAGTCCAGGCGTCCACGATCAGTTGGCAGAATTCACCCAGTGTTGCCTCTCTGTTTTGGTGAATGTGGATTATGAATGTGAATGCGGGTGGATCATTTAAGTTTGTTTTTTTATTTCCTACAAGTAATAATGTGGTTAATGCAGCTTTGCGCATATTTGTTTATGTTTTACAGAAACGAAACTTAAAACCACATGGCTCATTTGTATAAACTATAAGCTCTGAACCAGAATTAATTCATAAGGCGCACTATCGATTTTTGAGAAAATTAAAGGAGTTTAATGCACCTTATAGTCTGAAAAATAGGGTATATGAAAAAAAAAAAAACAGCCCTGAAATGAATATAGGAAGTGGCAAGTTTGTGGAGCCAATTTAACAAATAATGATTAAACATTTGTGGATCATACGCTTGGATATTTCTTTAAAAAACAGAGAATCTCCCATAGACTTATACAGACCCCTGCTCGCCATCTGGAATCACGGCATCATCTGATTTCAAAATGTGAACGTCAGATATTCAACCCAGTGTTCTGCTTGTGTTCTCAGGACTGGACCGGTCTAAACCAGGACTAAACCAGAACTAAACCAGGACTAAACCAGGACTAAACCAGGACTAAACCAGAACTAAACCAGTATATAAATGCCGCAAACCGCAGAGCCGATCTCCAGGACTACACTGGGACTAAACCAGACTTAAACCAGGACTAAACCAGGACTAAACCAGGACTAAATATATAAATGCCGCAAACCGCAGAGCCGATCTCCAGGACTACACTCGGACTAAACCAGGTCTAAACTGGAAACCAGGACTAAACCAGGTCCAAACCAGGACTTAACCAGGTCCTAAATAGGACTAAACCAGGACTAAATATATACACGCCGCAAACCACAGTCGATCACCAGGACTACACCGGGACTAAACCAGAACTGAACCAGGACTAAACCAGGACTAAACCAGGACTAAACCAGGACTAAACCAGGTAAATATAACCAGGACTAACCAGCAAACCACAGTCGATCACCAGGACTTAACCAGGACTAAACCAGGTCTAAACCAGGACTAAACCAGGACCAGGTAAACCAGGACTACTAAACCAGGTCTAAACCAGGACTAAACCAGGTCTAAACCAGGACTAAACCAGGACTCTAAACCAGGACTAAACCAGGTAAACCAGGACTAAACCAGGACTAAACCAGGACTAAACCAGGTCTAAACCAGGACTAAACCAGGAGGACTAAACCAGGATCACCTCCACTGATGGTTTTCATGTAATAAACAGCGATGTAACAATAACCGAAATATGATATCGTATCGTCAAAGTTCTCACAATAATATCGCCATCACCATCACAAGATATCGAATTACAAGTCTCTTTGCTTAAATGAGGAGTTATGATGCAGTCCTGTTTGTGTTCTTGTATTTTGCAGGTATTACTTCAAAGTGCAGGCCAAGAATGTGTTTGGACTGGGCCCAATCAGCGACACCATCACCTACGTCACAGAGTCAGGTGAGTCCACACGACACATGCAGATTTCAACACTGTGACTTTAATTATCTGCTGATGACCGATATTAACCGATACTAGTGCAGAGACATAAAATAAAATGGCACTTATTTCCTTAAAACGCATTCACCTTCTTACAAAACAGATCCAGTTATGTTGTGTAACTGTTATTTATTCTTCGAATCACTACTGAACATCTTTGCATGAATCTAAAAATCTGGCTTTTATTTCTGGGGCTTTTATCTCAAATTAAACACTTTTTTTTATCTTTTAAATCATTTGGACAGGTCACGCACGCTTTTATCTCCTCTTGTTTGACTGTAATGCACTTTTTTTCAGCCACCGTTCACTTTTTCGCTTTCTCGCTTACAGTTATAGTCCAAAATTCTGATGTGCAGCTTTTAACTGGAACCAAAAAACGTGAGCGCATTACCCCGGTTTTAGCGTCGTTGCGTTGGCTTCCAGTTCGTTTTAGAGTTGATTTTAAGATTTGATTGCTTGTTTGAAAAAAAAAAAAATTGATAATGATTTGTTTTTTCAGTTTTGGATTTTGTGTTTAAATGAATCATGGGAAAAAAACAGGTAACGGTTGTTTGAACCAGGACTAATCCAGGACTAAAACAGGTCTAAACCAGCTCTAAACCAGGTCTAAACTGGTCTCAGTCCCAGTCTCAGTCCCGGTCCTGGTCCTGTACGGTCTCGGTCTAAGTCCTAAACCAGGGCTAAACCAGAACTGAACCCGGACTAAACCAGGACTGAACCAGGAGTGTTAGAACTGGCCTGGACGTGCGCCCGTGTAGACTGTCGGGTGATTCGGTAACCGGGACCAGAGTGGGACTGAGACCAGGACAGAGACCAGGACTGAGACCAGGACTCAGACCTGTTTTAGTCCTAGTTCAGTCCGTATACGGCGCAAAAGTCCGACGTCCTCGCAGTTTAAGTTAGGGAAACGGTCGTTATCCGTTTTTTTTATTCATTTAAACACAAAACTGAAAAATGAAAAAAACATCATTATCCATTTTTTCATTTTGGTTTTGGAGACAAATAATGCTTTTCTTAATATTGAAAAAAGAATTCACAGTTTAACCCCTTGCACATATAGAACTTGCTCGTGTGTACGTCCCTCCTTCTATTCTTCTCCTTCTGTTGTAAAAAAATCCGTTCGGTGACACATTCGTTGGATTTGTTCGCCGCTGACTCTGAGATAAAAAGAGGTCAGAGCAGAAGCAGGCTCCATCTGCGCTCGTCATCATCCGCAGTATGGCTTTAACATGAGGCCCGTCTCTGCTCTTCCTCCCTGCTGCTCACATTATTGCATTCTTTCATAGTTTTTCTCTCCTTTTTTTTTTTTTTCAGACGATCCCCTGCTCATCGAACGGCCGCCTGGTAAGTCCATACACCACATCCTTCGTTTGAGTTCAACACACTGTGACGTATCTAACGCTAAGCAACTGTGAATCAGAACCCGACTATGGCAATAAAGCAGTTCTGAAATGGGATTTGTGAGAAATAAGAGACTGTAATGTGCTTCAAATGATCCTGCAGTAGTTTTAAAATGTCCCTTTATTACATGGTTGGTTTAACGATTACGATTAAGGCAAAGTGTTCTGCTGAGCGTAACAATTCGTGAAAGCAAGAATAAATCAAATATCCACTTGTAGTCTGCTTTAAAGGCTCGCCAAGTCTCTCAAAGTTCTGTACTGTGGTCATTATTCATTCACTCTATAGTCAGTGAGGGTGAGTTACTGGATTATTGGATTTCTACTGGTCAAAAGGTTTAGAGCCAGGGATGGGCATTCGATGAAATTTTCTTAATCGATCGTCGGAAGAACGTTTTTATATTAAAATGATCATCATTATTATTACTATCTGCACTACTAATCTGCATAAATAAATTCAACTTTACGACATATAAACCGTAACGACTCTAGAGCCACATCAGCCCGTTTGACATTATAATGTGTTTAATTCAGTTTTGCACAACTCTCACAGAAACGAAACTTAAAACCGCATCGCTAATTTGCATAAACTAAGCGAAGATAAAACTACAGCTCTTGTGTCGCTGATGCAGTTCAATTTCTGTCGGATTAAAAGACATGACTCAGTGGAATACAGGTTAGTGTGACCATATTTGCGTTTGTCAAAACCAGGACACCGTACGGGGGGAGGGAGGCGGGGACTCGTCATCGACATTGCGCGACTCTCACCTGGTAAAACTTTTTCCCACTGGACACAGAAACATATGTGCTGCTTTATACACTGTGCACATGGACTCACACTTGTCCCGAACGCAACGGAAAGCGTGGAATTTCTTGTACAAATCATCGTTAAATACACATTTGTGCTTCGGTACGTTGCAGACTGACCGACTGTTTCTGTTTGTGTCTCGCTCCTTCTGAGTGCAGAGACACATGTACAGACCCCTGTTTGGTCACGCTACACACAGCAACCTGCATTCGGTTTGTCGATTAAAATGAATGTAATCGATGAAATTCTTAATGATCAATTATCGATTAATCGATTAATCATGCCCATCCCTATTTAGAGCGCTCAAATTTTTCCAGTTATTTATTGCAATTCAAGTCGTGCAAGTCCAATGAAGAGCTTGAAATGGTACAAAGGTAAGAACTGAACAGCCAGAGGTTAAAAAAAAAAGATAAAAGATATAAAACATAAGTCCAAGCTCTGCCAAAACTACCTCAGAAAAAAAGAACAAGATGGTAAAGCTTGAAAACATGGAGTGACCAGCAGCACAGTGTCCAGACTTAAAGGTCGTATAGAAGATTTTCCAAGGAAAGAGAAATGCAGCGACTTTTTGTCCTTTTTCAAATGTCGCGCTTCGCTCCTCTTCCCCTTCTCTTCTTCTTTCAGCGACGTCAAAAACAGACTTTCTTTTGTTTGCGAACTGGTTGTGAATTCTTGTCTGCCGTTACAACAAACTTTGTGCAAACTGAGAGGAAGCTACAGTTCGAAAAAGACACTAAGAACCGCTGAGGCGAACGTAAACCGGCAAGTCAGTGACGCTAGAAACGTAGGGAGTTTGATTGACAACCCAACAGCCAATAGATAAAGAGGTAGACTTGTTATCTATTGGCTGATGTCCACAGTTGATGGATTTTCTTTTTTTTTTTTTTTTTGGTCATCATAATTGCAAGGTTGCTGCATCTCTATAATTCTATTTTGAACTTTCATCAACAATTTGAAACAAACAAAAAAATAAAAAATCCGTCATGCAACCTTTAAACCCCATTGAGCTGCTTTGGGATGAACTGGACAGAAGAGTGAAAGTCAAGAAACCTACAAGTGTCACACATTTATGGAAACTTCTGCAACAGACTTGGGAAGAACTTTCATTTCTATTGTAAAAAGAACGAGCCACGAGTGTGTTCAGCTGTTACATCTGCCAAAGGTGGACACTTTCATCAATCAAAAGTTTAGAATACGTTTTGGTCAACAGATAGAAACTGGAAAAAGTGTGGTGTTCTAAAACTTTTTACCAGGAGTGTATATGAAATGTATAAAATGAAGCAAACTAGATAGAACTTTTTAATTGTAAATAACAGACTTACTTTGGTCCACAATTTTCAAGCAGTAGCTGAATGTTATTTTTTCATTTGAGATTCATACCAGGCCTTCTCACAGGTTTATTTTTCTTTATTCGGGTAGAATAATATTAATAAAAAGCGTATGATTTCCGCGCCTCTCAAACCTGGAACACCAGCCCAGTGAGCTGCTACACTCAGCTCTTTCTCTGCTCAAATTAAATCATGGCTATTGAACAATCAGATCTGTCCACACAACTAAACTTAAACAGCACCTTTTGCACATGAGCCGGGGACTGTTTGTCTCTTACATTATCTTGTTTTTTAATATGCATTGTCCCTTTAATAAATAAATACAAATACAAATGATTAAATCTTGCTGTTTTTGTCGTTCAGGTGGAGAGCCCATCTGGATCCCGTTCAGTTTTAAGTATAACTCGGCGCACAGCTTGTGTAAAGGAAGTCAGTACGTCAAACGCACCTGGTACAGGAAGTTTGTGGGCGTGGTCCTGTGCAACTCTCTGCGCTACAAGATCTTCATGGGAGACAACCTCAGAGGTTTGTACCGCACTGTAGACATTCTTCATTTACTCCACACTCAGTGCATAAGATACTACTGAAGCCGATCTGGGGCAGACTGACCGAAAAGAGGCAACCAATTTGTGCTTTTGGGTCGTCCTTCCCTCATTTCTCACTCACAGCTACACTATATTCATACATAGGCAAGAGTGTTGCCCAAGGACACAATGGCAATATGCACTGGTGGGTTTAAGACTGAACAGTCAAACTACTAAACCCAGACATTAAAATACATAATATAGTAAAAGTGTTGTACCCAATTTTTACTGTCTTAAAAACATAAAAGACAGAAATACCAGAACTGAAGACAAGAACTGAAGAAGCAGGTTGGATGAGCTGAGAAATGTATTTGACCAAATAAACTTTTGTCCGGTTGATGATTTTAATTTCTCCTTTGCCATAAAAGACAGAAATAGTTCGTTTAAAACAGGGGTGTCAAATTCAAATTCAAATGTTTGTGTGTGTGTCGTCCTCAGAGCCCTTCTACAGTATAGGGGACACGCTGGGACAGGGGGAGGACCACTGTCAGTTTGTGGACTCGTACAGGGACGGGAGGACAGGCCCCGCCTACATGTCCAACATGCTGCCCTCAGCTCAAGGTAAACAGCCTCTGTTACTTTACTAAAGGCATAAGTCACTCTGTAGAACTTATGATTAGCTGGTAGTTTTCTTGTCAAAATGTTACAGCTGTATTTCCAGTCTGTGTATTTTTCTGCTGCGTTCAGACTAGGGCAGGGGTGTCAAACTCATTTTGGTCCGGGGGCCGTATCCAACCTACTTTGATCCCAAAGGGGCCGGATCAAAAAACTCATGTCATATAAACCCCAAAAATAAAAATAAATTCAAATATTTGTGCAGAGAAACACAAATCTATTACTGAAATCTTTTTTAATTGATGAACTCTTTCTTTTACAAAATATTCTAATATTATGAACAACCTGAAACTTTAAGAAAAATGCAATTTCAACACAAAGTTTAACATGAACTTGTATGTAAATAGGAATAAGTTCATTTTTGTTGTAAAATCCTGCACTCGGCTCCACTTTTCTCATGTTGGACATTTTTCTGATGAGGGTGTCACGGTCAACAGTCAAAACGATCGTCCTTTAAGAGCGTTTGGAAAGAGACAAGTCTTCATTTGTGCTGCTCTGGTGGGAGGGGCCACGTACAGAGACGCTGGAGACGCTGCTGTGATAAACACCACAGAAAATTAACAAGATTTTAATAGAAAATATAAATTAAAATATTTTAGTAGAAAATCAGCCGAGGGCCAGATTAAAGGTCTTGGAGGGCCGGATCTGGCCCCCGGGCCTTATGTTTGACACCTGTGGACTAGGGCGTCAAGGCGTCCAGTTTACATGCAGAGTTTACGTGGACGCGCGTCTAGGAAATCCTGCGTTTTTGCGTTGCATCTTCAGGCGTCAGCGCGGCGAGAATCTGGCATCAACAGGAGCGTCGAGAGCGTTGGCATCAGAAGTTTAAAAAGCGGAACTTTTGGCGTCAGACCGTGCCGTGTCGACCAATCAGGAACTACTATCCGTAAGAAGTAGAAGAAAGAGAAAGACCCGGAAGTCACAAACACCAAAACAAGAAATCTAAGCCGTTTCATTAGCAGAGTATAAATATATAAACGCTGCAACCGTCCAACTGATCACCTCTGCTGATGGTTTTGTGCATTAAATTCACTACAGTCACTCTCTCGACCGGGAAAACAAGGCACTCGCAGACCGCAGCAGACACCCTGGATGTGCGTCAAGTATTTTTCTCGCATTCTTCCGCTTGCGTGTCAAGGGCGTCCAACTCGCGGCGTCCAGGGCATTTTTTGACGTCTCAGAGCAGCTTGATCTGTATTTGTACAGTGGAAAAAACAAATAACGGTCGTTTCCCGTTTCCATGACTTAAACTGCGATCCCGGACTAAACCAGGACTGAATCAGGACTAAACCTGGTCCGAAACCAGACAGGAACCAGACCGGGACTGAGATCAGGACTTAGACCGGGACCAGACCAGGACTGAGACCGGGACCAGACCAGAAATTAGACCAGGACTGAGACTGGTAACAGAAACAAGACTGAGACCAGGATTGAGACCGGGAACAGAACCAGGACTGAGACCGGGACTAGACCGGGACTGAGGCTAGGACTGAGGCTGGGACCAGACCAGGGCCAGATTGTGATTGAGACCGGGACTGAGACAGGGACCAGACCAGGGCTGAGACCGGGGTCAGAGCGGAACTGAGACCGGGACCAGACCGGGACTGAGGCCAGGACTGAAACCACGACTAGACCGGGACTGAGACCAGGACTGAGGCTGGGACCAGACCAGGGCCAGATTGTGATTGAGACCGGGACTGAGACAGGGACCAGACCAGGGCTGAGACCGGGGTCAGAGCGGAACTGAGACCGGGACCAGACCGGGACCACACCGGGACCAGACCGGGACCAGACCGGGACCAGACCGGGACTGAGACCAGGACCAGACCGAGACCAGACCAGGACCAGACCAGGACTGAGAACAGGACTGAGACTGGGACCAGACCAGGACTGAAACCAGTTCAGTCCTGTTTTAGTCCCGATTCAGTCCTGATTCAGTCCGGCATCGCAGCTTAAGTCACAGAAACGGGAAACAAATCATTATCCGTTTTTTTGTTTTGTTTTTTTTTTTTTCATTTTAATTTTGGAGATAAATAATGAAGAAAATTGTTGTTTTTTCGTTTTCTTATCTTTGGCTTTATTTTGAAAAACAAATGACCAAATACACAGATCGTATCGGGCAAAGCAACGGACCCTCCGCCAAAAAAATTACACAATACACCTTAAAAAAATGAAATAGTTCTGTGCTTTTTTTTTTTCCTTTTTTTAATCTAATTTTGCGATCGAAATGAGTTCTGAGTATAGCGACAGCCCCGTGCCAGTACAGCTGTTTTTCCGTTAGCCTTTTCAGCAGACCAGTAAAGCCCAAACACATGTCTCTCTCTTTCTTTCTCCGTGTGGGTGGTTTTTATCTCCAAAACGGCCTCATATCTCCAGACACTTCGCCGATCGCACCACGTGGACCACAACATTATTACTTTCATATTGACACCGTTCAGCCGCAGCTTTAACTCGTCAGATGAATACAAAAAATTAATTGCGTTGATTTTTAAGTGTTTTTTCCGACCGCAGATACAGTTATGTCATTTCACTAGGTCCATAAAACGGCGCATGATGAATGAAGCTGTTTATTTTGTGGGATTATTCACCGTAGGAATATTTTGTATGGGCTTTGATGAAACTAAAATGTGGTGAGGTTTGCTAAAAGATAATAAAAATAAAGACATTAAACTTTATCATTCACACGTGTTGAGTCTAAGACATGAAGCCGCTGATTGGTGTGAGTCTGTGTGTCATTTGTTCATTTGTTTTTCAAAATAAAACCAAAAATAAGAAAACAAACAAAAAGCAACTATTTTCCTCATTATTTGTCTCGATTCGTTCTTTCAGTTTTCGATTTTGTGTTTAAATGAATAATGGAAAAAATAGATAATGATCGTTTCCTGTTTCTGTGGCTTAAACTGTGATACTGGACTGAACCAGGACTAAAACAGGACTAAACCAGGACTGAACTAGGACTGAGTGTCGGGATGGGCTTGTAGATGTGCCCGCGTAGACTGTCGGGTGATCAGGACTGAGACCAGGATCAGACCAGGTCCAGGACTGACAGAGGGACTGAGACCGGGACTGAGATCGGGACCACACTGGGACCAAACCGAAACTAAGAGCGGACCAGACCAGAACTGAGATCAGGAATGAGACCGGGATTGAGACCGGGACCAGACCGGGACTGAGATCAGGACCAGACTGGGACCGAACTGGGACTAAGAGCGGGACCAGACCAGGGAAACGAGAAACCGGAAACAACTGGGACTGACACTGGGACTGGGACTGAGACCAGAACCAGACCAGGACTGAGAGCAGGGACCAGACTAGGACCAGGACTGACACTGGAACTGAGACCGGGACTGAGACCCGGGACCAAACCGAGACTAAGAGTGGGACCAGACCAGAACTGAGACTGAGACTGAGAGAAGGACTGAGACCGGGAATGAAATCGGAACCTGAGATCGGGACCAGACTGGGACCAGACTCGGACTAAGAGTGGGACTAAGAGCGGGACCAGACTAGGACCAAACCGGGACTAAGAGCGGGACCAGACCAGAACCAGACCGGGACTGAGCCAGGAACTGAGACCGGGACTCAGATCAGGACCAGACCAGAACTGAGACCAGGACTGAGAGAAGGACTGAGACCGGGACCTGAGATCGGGGCCAGATTGGAACCAGACTGGGACCAGACCGGGACAAAGAGCGGGACCACACCAGAACTGAGACCGGGACCAGACTTTTATTAAATTTTATTTATCAACATTTTCAGTTTAGAACAAACACTCCAAAACAACAACAAAAAAAGGAAAAGGGCAAACTCAGATAATCATTAAAATACACTGTGAGCATAAAATAAAGTAAAATAAATAAAAAATATAAATTAAATAAATATTCTATATGGTTTACATAACAGAAACATATGTAAATAAAATTGCCAAATAATAACAACAAAAATGATAATAAAAAATATAACACTAAGGTAAAATAGATACAAAATTTTAAATAGTTAAAAAAGTAAAACACACGTCTCCATACCTTCTGACATTTTTGAGAATTGTCTGACACTTACGTACTTCAATCTTTCAATAAGCATATGTTTTTGCCGGCGTTTGTCTGTTTGTTTGTTTGTTTGTTTGTTTGTTTATTTGTTTGTTTGTCTGTTAGCAACATAACTCAAAAAGTTATGGACCGATTTTGATGAAATTTTCAGGATTTGTTGGAAATGTGAAAAGGAAGAACTGATTTCATTTTGGAGGTGATCCGGAAGAAATCCTGGATTCTGGATCACTTTGAAATTTTAGTTAACATTGTGGTAAATGGGGCCAAAAATTTTGTTTCTCAATATCTCGGTTAATTATTGACCAAACCCCATGAAATTTGACTCAGGGATGGACAATGGGATCCTCTTTCATATTCCAAAGGCTGATCCGGATCTGAATCCAGAAGACTGATTTTATCGCAATTTATATAAAAAATGGGGTAGTCCTTGGCGGAGGTCTGCGCTCTCTGAGTGCTTTTCTAGTTTACTTATAAGAACAAAACTAGGCAGAAATGCTACAAAAAATATAAACAACTAGAAAAGCACTCAGAGAGCGCAGACCTCCGCCAAGGACTACCCCCATTTTTTTATATAAATTGCGATAAAATCAGTCTTCTGGATCAGATCCGGATCAGCCTTTGGAATATACTGAGGAACAAAATTTTTGGCCCCATTTACCACAATGTTAACTAAAAATTTCAAAGTGATCCAGAATCCAGGATTTCTTCCGGATCACCCCCAAAATGAAATCAACAAATCCTGAAAATTTCATCAAAATCGGTCCATAACTTTTTGAGTTATGTTGCTAACAGACAAACAAACAAACAAACAAACAAACAGACAAACGCCGGCAAAAACATAACCTCCTTGGTGGAGGTAATAAAAAGAAAGCAGGGAAAAACCAAAAAGTGCCCAAACGTAACAGACCCGTATTTTCCAAGGTGGTCCAGAACCCAAAAAGGACCGTTTCAGGATCGGGGTTTATCGTTTTCCTTGAGTGAGCTCCACTTTAACTTTGCCTTTACTTTTTTTTTTTTCCAGGATATTTCCGCGCGTACAGACAGGAGCCGGTGACGTTCGGCGTGATCGGGCGCAGGACAAACCACCCCTTCGTGGGATGGTACGAGTGCGGAGTCCCCATCCCGGGAAAGTGGTAACCTCCTCCAGGCCTGAGGAGAAACGGGACTATGGACTCAAACCGGGCGAGCGCTCACTAAAGCCCGCCGATCCCAAAGACTGACACCACTACATGTACCTGACAGAGAGAGAATATAGTACTTTAAATACTTTGAAATGTATATCTTTAATTGCACTTTTGTTTTGACATAAAGCAGTCTGTATATGAGGAGATTATGTGCATGTGTGTCTTTGGAATTGTTTAAAATCCAAAATTATTTAAATGTCATTTCCAGGGCGGGACTATCAAGCAAAGAGTAAAGCATACACTATAAACCAAACATTTTTTAAGAGCTGCTAGTGGTGGTTGTTAAAGAAGCACCGTGTAACTTTTCTTGCACCGATACAGATTTTTTTTAAATTTCCGATACTGATTTCGATACTAGAGCTTTAAGTATCAGATCCAATACCAGGGCAGAGACTGAAAACAGATTTTATTTCCTTAAAACAAACATAAAATAAGACTAAAACTGATCCGTATGTGTTATGAAACTGTTATTTATCTCAAGTAACAACAGAAAAAACTTTGTATAAATAAAAGCTCAAATATTATGAGACTTTCTAGGCCAATTACATTCAGTAAATAGTCTTAAATATCAATTAATAGGTTCAACCAGAATATTTGGAAACTGATATCCGATCTGTCAAATATATTAGTATTGGTGCTGATATCTACCGTATTTTTCAGGCTATAAGTCTCTCCGAAGTATAAGTCGCACCAGCCAAAAAATGCGTAATGAAGAAGAAAAAAACAGATTTAAGTTGCAGTTTTTGGGGGGAAATTTATTTTGTAAAATCAGAGACCAAGAACCGACATTTCATCTCAAAAGTCAAGTTCTAGTAAAAACAATAGAACAGAGAACAACAGACTGTTAACGTCACATATGAACAGTTCTTCAGATAAATATAACATAAACTAGAAAAGCAGTCAGAGAGCGCAGACCTCCGCCAAGGACTACAGTCGCCCTCATATTAATTGTGTTTTCCATAAATATTTGTCTCGTATCTTTCAATTTGGAATATGAAAGAGGATCCCATTGTCCATCCCTGAGTCAAATTTCATGGGGTTTGGTCAATAATTAACCGAGATATTGAGAAACAAAATTTTTGGTCCCATTTACCACAATGTTAACAAAAATTTCAAAGTGATCCAGAATCCAGGATTTCTTCCGGATCACCCCCAAAATGAAATCACTTCTTTCTTTTCACATTTCCAACAAATCCTGAAAATTTCATCAAAATCGGTCCATAACTTTTTGAGTTATGTTGCTAAACAGACAAACAAACAAACAAACAGACAAACGCCGGCAAAAACATAACTTCCTTGGCGGAGGTAATAACAGAACAGAACAAGTTTAACAAACTCTCCATCTCACTCCAAATCACTAAATCCATTAAATTCTTCATCCTCGCTGTCACTTCTGAGCAACGCGGCCTCAACCTCCAGAGGTAAACAGAGCACCGCTTCCTCTTCTGTGTCGCTGTCGTCTCAGACTCAGCATCAGTTCCAGTTAGAATTATTCCGGTCTTTCTGAATCCCGACAGGATGGTTTCGGTGTCACTGAAGTCCAGGTTTTGTCCGTCCATCCAATTAATTAATTTTTTTTTTAGTTTCAAATTGTCAGTAAAAGTTTAAAATGCCATTACAGAGACGCAGCAGCCTTGGAATTATGACCAAAAAAAATAAATAATGAAAATCTATCAACTGTGGACGTAGTGAGGCCAGATAAACATCAGCCAATAGAAAAAGCTCCCTCTTTATCTATTGGCTGTTAGGTTGTCAATCAAACTCCCTACGTTTCTAGTATAACTGAATTGCCGGCGTGCGGGGATTATGTGGTTTATGCAGCGGTTCTTAGAGGCTTTTTCAAACTGTCGCTTCGTCGCAATTCGCACAAACTTTGTTGTGATGGCGGACGAGAATCCACAACCAGTTCGCCGCCAAAGAAAGTCCGTTTTTGAGGTCGCTGAAAGAAGAAGAGAAGGCGAAAAGGAGCGAAGACAAACTGAGGTGATTCTTGGAGATTCCTTCCAGCGACGGCGTAACTGAAGCTGAGGAAGGGTCTAAAAACTGACGCGTCGGTCCCTAAATTACTTCTAGACAGGTCACTTCAACAGAAATTCATGCACTGGATGTAAACAAGCGTGATTTCTAGAGTAAAGAGGTGGGAGGAGGAAGATCGTGTCACGCATGCGCAACATTTGAAAAAAGACTCTTGCTGTATTGCTCTTCCCTTAAAAAATCCTCTATACAACCTTTAATCATTGCATTTATATAACACCTTTCAAGATACCCAAAGAGCTTTACAGTTCATTATTCATTCGAGTCTGCCAATCTGCGCCATCGGCCCCTCTGACCACCACCATCACTCACGCTCACGCCACTTTCATACTAGGCAATGTGGGTGAAGTGTCTTGCCTAAGGACGCAACAACAGTTTTTGTCACTGGCGCCACACTGCAACTCCAGTGACTTCCAGGAAAGTTTCATCCCGGTGTCAGAAGTTTCTCGCTCACTCCAAACGTGCTTTCTGCTGCTCGATTACAGTTTTCAGCTGCAGAATTCACTACCTGCAGCCTTGTGATCTGCAAAATATGATCTTCTCAGTTGTTTTTATATGTTTGTTTAAATTTTAAATCTTCCGTGGTACAGAAGTAATGGTGCGATAAACTGACATGATACAGACAGGACAGAGGCTCTTTCTGCAGGAGACATGCGCAGTAGAGTGAAGTGACAGTGGTACAGGAGGAACAGGAGCAGCAGATACTGACACACAAGACTAGAGCCTCTTGCCGCTGTCAGTGTAAAAATTTTAATATTTAAGTCGCACTGGAGTATGAGTTGCAGGAAACACCCAAACCATGAAAAAAAGTGCCACTTATAGTCCGAAAAATACGGTAATTCTAATAAAAATACGGTAATTCCAATATCAGATCGGTGCATTCCTATTTTCTTGTACAGAGTCAGCCTGCTTGTCTCCATGGAGATGCTTTTGATTTACCTCAAATGTTCCGCAGTTTGGCATTTAACAGATTTATCTTCATGAAAGCGAGCAGGCGTAGTACAGGTCAGATCTGTGAAAAGGCGACGTCGCTCACAGTAAGAATGCATGTTTTTTTTTATAGGAGTTATTCATGATTTTTAATAACAACTTTAATTGAATAAATGCAAAATACAAAGGACAAAGCAGGGACATCTCCATGGAGACAAGCAGGTGGCAGAGCCTTCGTCAGAAAAGTTACAGAATGCGGCATTAATTACAGCAACTGCTCCGTTAAAGTTTTTTTTTTTTTTTTTTTTTTTTAGTTCAGAACACAATGAGAAATCCATAAGCGAGACATGAAAACAATGCAACAAAGCGCCAAGATAACACAATTGTAAATCTTTGGGACAGCCAAAAGGGAGAACAAAGCACTGCCTAGAGACTCATTTAGACGTCCAGAATTTAAAGCTGGACTGTGTAACTTTTCTGGCGAAGAATCCAACAACTGTTTGCTTCCGTGGAGACGAGATGCCTTGAATTTATAACTGCGTTGAGGTTTAAATTTTATTGTTCCTGTTGAGAAATTTGTCCCATAGCATTTGATCCAGCTGTTGGTGGGGCAACCTGTGTATCTCCATGGCGACCTCCAGCCCAAATTACTAGTCAGATCTGTGTAAAGGCGGGCCCATTCACAGCAAGATTGTGTGATTTTAAAGTTGTTTTGAGCAATAAAAACAGCTGTACTTGAACAAATGTAGTGTAGATTAATTAATGCCATGCTGTGGAACATTCCGGGCAATGCATCTCATCCATGGAGACAACAGGTGATGCCATCAGGCCAAGTTACTGGTCAGATCTGTGGACAAGCAAACCCATTCATAGCAAGAATGCATGATTTTAAAGTATTTCTGAGCAATAAAAACACCTTTATCTGAATAAATTCAATATACATTTAATAATGCCACACTGTGGAATATTCTGGGCAATGCAAATTATCCATGGAGACAAGCAGGTGATGCCATAAGGCCAAGTTACTGGTCAGATCTGTGGAGATGCAAGCCCATTTACAGTAAGAATGTGTAATTTTAAGGTTGTTTTGAGCAATAAAACACCTGTACCTGATCAAATATAGTGTAGATTAATTAATGCCATACTGTGGAACATTCCGCAAATTGCATCTCATCCATGGAGACAAGCAGGTGACGGCAGCACGCCAAGTTACTGGTCAGATCTGTGTAGAGGAGAGCCTATTCACAGTAAGAAAGCGCGATTTTAAGGTATTTCTGAGCAATAAAAACAGCTGTACCTGAACAAATGTAGCATAGATTTAATAATGCCACACTGTGGAACATTCTAGATAATGCAACTCATCCATGGAGACAAGCAGGTGATGTCAGCAGATCAAGTTATTAGTCAGATTTGTGGAAAGTCGAGCCTATTCATAGTAATTAAAAAAATAATAATAATAATAATTCTAAGGCATTTGAGCGATAGAAACACACGCAATTTTTTTTTTCTTCTTTTTTTAGATTTAGATTTAGATTCCGGGCATTGCAATAACATCTCCATAGCGACAAGAAAAGTTACACGGTGCACCTTTTTAAAGCAAAGACTATGTAAAAACAATGCATTTTTTATTTCTTTAAACATTGAAATCATTTTGAAATTTTGTCAATAATAATTTTGTCAATAATGATGTCGTCCATTTTGTTTCTCTTTGATGCTATTTGCACTATTTTTCTGTAAGCAGTGTTATTCTACCTACATAGTGTTTATAGACCCAACTACTCCCTCCCATTTGTAAAGTCATGATCTCAACTACTACTACTACTACTTTTGTTTTTCAGCATTTTCGGTTCCCAGTATTCAAAAAAATTACTGTATTCATTTTGTATGTACGTAAACAGACAAAGAATAAAGTATTGGCTCAGGAACGAGTGAATGTTTTTGTTTTCCTGACCACCGCCTCCTCATACGATACCGTCTAATCACCATTTTTGTCTTTCAGAAGTTCACCGATGTTATTTAATCAAGCGAAATCAGCTACAGCGGTCCAGCCAGTTGGAAGAAACCGCGTAAGAGTATGAAAAAAAAAGAAACAGAGAGAGAGAAAAAGAGGGAAACAAGTTGAAGAAAGAAGGATGGTGAGTCTAGAATATTTACTGTAAAATCAGGGACAAACCGCAGCAGAGGTATGGCTTTCAAATTGGGTTCATAAAGGACTCGACCACAAAACCAGTGTTTGTTTAGGATGTGTAAGACCAGAGCGACGATTATTCTGGTATGTTTTTGGGTCTGATTTTGTTGTAATTCTGAAGTTTTAACTACAGATAATAGGACCAAACGTAATATTTTTCTAATAGTTTTGGTTTGAGTGAGGAGATAATGGCAGAAATAACATGGAATGAATGAAATGTAGGTCAA